GCTCTCTCTCTCTCTCTCTCTCTCTCTCTCTCTCTCTCTCTCTCTCTCTCTCTCTCTCCCTCCCTCCCTCCCTCCCTCCCTCCCTTCCTCCCTCCCTCCTTTCCCCTCCCCCTTTCTCTTCTCGCCTCCCTTTTCCCTCTCCGCCTTCCATTTCTCTCCTCCCATTTTTGCAAACCCACACCCAGCGAGCCCGTCTCCAGACGAACAAATAGACGTCCGGGGCGGGCCAGGGAGTCCAATGTCACGCTGGGCAGAAGTGGAACAGGAGAGCGGCGGGGCGCGCGCGGGCAGAGGAGGCGTGCGGCCGGCAGGGGGCAGCCGAGGGGCAGCGCTGGCGCGCGGATGCTGAGCCTCGCCTCGCCCCGCGCCCGCATCCTCAGCCTCAGCACCAGGCGCGGCAGAGCCCGGAGCGCAAGCCACTGAGGGCAGCGGCGGCGGCGGGAGCGAGGCGCGCAGCTGAGCAGCGGCGCGGGCGGGAAGCAGCAGCTGCCGCCGCCGCCGCCGCCGCCGCGACGGGCAGCCGGGCTCGCGGGCAGCCGGCTCCGGCCCCTGGCCCTCGGCCTCGAGCCCCCGGCGAGTCTGGAGTCCGCGCCGTCGCCGGCCGCGTCCTCCGGGCATGGAAGGCGGCGGCAAGCCCAAGTCCGCGTCCAACAGCCGCGACGATGGCAACAGCGTCTTCCCCTCCAAGGCGTCCGCGACGGGGCCGGCGGTGGCCGACAAGCGCCTGGGGACCCCGCCGGGGAGCAGTACGGCGGGGAAGGAGCACGGTAACTCCGTGTGCTTCAAGGTGGACGGCGGAGGCGGCGAAGAGCCGGCGGGCAGCTTCGAGGATGCTGAGGGTCCCCGGCGGCAGTATGGTTTCATGCAGAGGCAGTTCACCTCCATGCTGCAGCCCGGGGTCAACAAATTTTCCCTCCGCATGTTCGGCAGCCAGAAGGCGGTGGAGAAGGAGCAGGAAAGGGTTAAAACTGCAGGCTTCTGGATTATCCACCCGTACAGTGACTTCAGGTGAGGGCTCCCTGGCGTCGCCCCACCCTGATCCCCCCCTAGGCGCACCCTCCAGCATCCTACCGCGCCCCTGGGAGGGGGCGCCCCGGGGACTCGCAGCGGGGTGCGGGGCAGGCGGGGCAGCGCTGCCCGTGGCTCCTACTCAAACTGGCCAGACTCAACTCTTCAACTAGTTTCCATCCAGGAAAGGTTTGGGGTACGGAGTTTCTTCTCCCCAGGGCGCCAGCGAAGCTCGTTCCCTTTGTCTGCTGAACTCTGGGGGTTAGATGGGGAGGGAAGAAGGCCACTATGACCCCTGGACGGGAGGTGGCTAAGTTTCACTAGGGAAAGTTTTACTTCGGTAATGGGAGAGTTAGGAGTAAGGCAGGCATCCTTGCTAGCGCTGCTCCCCAAAGAGAAAAAAAAAAGATGCTTCTGGGATTCCGGAGATGAGGAAACTGGAGACAGTGACTCACAGGTCCTAGCTGTTCCTGCCACTCTCGCCCCTGGGAGTGTTAATCTGTTGTTCTTATGCTTATAGACGCTCTTGTCCCCACCGCATTTCTCCCGATCAGTGACGGGCAAGCACAGGAAGGACACTTGTGCTTGCTTGGCTTGGGTAGTCTGTGACTTGAGGTTTCAGCGGAGCCAGTGCTGCCCAACTGGGCAGGAGCGTGACAGGAAGCTTCGAGTTCCCGAAACAGAGATGGGGGGAGCGTTTCTAGAGCCCCCTTCCTGAAATAGAGCGATACCCGCTCTTGACCTTGACTACAAATCCATTTCAGAAATGTCTTACCAGTTTCCCAGCCTTGGAGGAAGGGCACAGCAGAGCTGTCAGCAGGAGAAAATTAATATGAGTTTCCTGATCTTATTTGTAGCCCGAGTATTCATTCGGTTAATAAGCACGTTTAGAGACTGACAAATGAAGGTCGTGAAGTAGATCCTCTTATTAGCGTGACAAGCTGCCCCTGAACATAAGCAGAGTTCTTCTGAAAATCCCCAACTAGCAACTCCGGGTGATCCACTTGTTTGTTTATCTAATTTGTTCGAACAAGGGGAAAAACACAGCAACGAAAGGAGTGTATTGCACACTGAGCGTTTAGCCTCCTGGTAAACCGCAAGCAAACGGCAACAAAAAGCCTTGCTTCGAGCAGTGTTCAGAAACTAACCAAAATTGTTGTGAAGTGCATGCAGGGGAGGGAGCTGTCCATAGTTCTGAATCAAGTTTACTGTGGACTACAGCCCAGCAAAGAAAGCTTGGGGAGACAACTGCCCATCTTTCCCAAGATATTTGTCGCGTCAGAAATCAGCAGTCTCTTTTCTTGTGCACGGAGTGGGTGTATTATATGAAAGATTTAGCTTTTAAATTCTTATTTTCAAAAACATATAGGAAAATCCCTGAAGGGCTTACAATAGTTAATGCCATTTATTGTCTGTGGATTATTGGGTTCAATTGAAAGAATGTTCAGGCTAAAAGAGCCTCCTGAGTAATCAAGTATGCTTCATCTGCGAGGATGATATTTGGAAAGGCAAACTCATAGATGGTCTTGCCCCATCCTAGGCAAATTAGGTTGTTACGCTCTTTTGAATTTTAAAAGCGGGATTTGAATACCATCTCTTTTAGAGACCTCCTTGGGAATATAATCCAAACGATACTATACATTTCAAAAGAAAAACTTTGCAACTGAATATTCAACAGTCTTAATAAGAAAAATGAGAGCTATGTTTTGAAAAAGATTATGACATTCAATGATAACATGCCAAAGGTGCTAAACTTTATTTAGCTGATATCACATTTAATTAAATGAGTTCGAAGGATACTTTTATGTATTTCTCAACATAAAAATGATGGTACTTTTCAAAATAGCAGCCTGTATCAAATGATTAAAGTCCTGGTCTCGTTTCTTTCTTTCTAAAAGTATATAGGGCATAGAGCAACTTTTCATGAATTGGAATCAGATGTTTAATCTGTGGATCAGTGAAATTAAGGGATTCTACATATTTCCCCAAGAAAATCTGGTGAAGCAAAAGCAAACACGGAGCAAAGGTGGGAGGTGAAACCAAGTGATGATGAGGTTTTTGTCCTGCATTTCACAGCAGTGAATGATGACTGAGAACGAGCTATATACTAACAAACCCTAGCACAGTTTGGGAGACGTGATTGCCCTTGCATAGAAGAAACATAGCAGCAATAGGCTAACTATTCAGTATTATGCAAAATATTTTATAGGAGATATCTAAAAAATTTGAAATGAAAAATTGCAGTATACCTTTGTTTTCTAAAAATGACAAACTAAGGATCTTGGACATATTTTACCTGTTTAGGTTCAGAACGACGTTACTAATTCATATTTTTGTATAGTCATAATAACCAATACAAGCATTTCCAAAACCTATGACATGGCAAAAAAAAAATGTAGTTGTTAAACCCAGAACCAAAACCAGACAAAATTTCAGCAACTTTTTTTCTCTACAGTGAAAGCAATGTTCAAGTGGACTTCAGTGGATGCTGGAAAATTTGATGGTTTTAATTGGCTCATCTCAGACCTTTCCTAAGGAAGGACTTTAAGGGAAGTCTTTTGCCGAAATTACTAAATCATCAAATTTAAGTTGATTAATCTGCTAACAGAGAGAGTAACACACAAGACTACATTTCCGAGGAAGGGCATTGGTTTTTGGAAAGTCTGAAACAAGTTGTCACCTTCATAGCTCTTTGTGAGCCCAGGAGAGTGCCCTCTGCATTCGCTGCCCATCCCCAAATTGCCGAGGGCAGTGTGTCACTTCTCCTCAGGACACGCCATGCCTAATATTCTGGTGGCCATGTTGGGGTGACTTCTCAGGCAGAGATCCTTTCCCACTTCCTTCTAGGTGAGGGCTGTGCTCCAGCTGACACGTTCAGACAGCTAGCTAGTGGCTCTTCTGCTCACCAAAGTCCAAGTGTGCTACTTTTGTGTCTGGCAGGTAACAGTCTTCCACTTCCAGTGTAATTAGGACAGAGGCTCTGTGTTTCCCTTTATTTCTCTGGAGAAGATAATGGCAGGAACCTTCAGGGAGTAAAGATGAGTCCGGTGATAGTGACACTGGAAGAAATCATGTGGAAGGAGCTAGGAAACATACATTTTTTTCCCCTGTGATATTTAATCATCAAGACTGGGACAAACATTGGTAGGTACGTAGAGTTGTTTTGTGTGTGTGTGTGTGTGTGATTCTCCTCAACTCCCATGTGTGTGTTTGTGTGTATGTGTGTGTGTGTGCGTGTGTACAGTTGTGTCTGTGCACAGAGACCAGATTGCATTTCTTCCTCAGTTACTCTCCGCTTTGTAATAGATATCTTAAAGTAATTCACCCGGCTGTGGTTCTGTTCAGTGAAGCCATGGTCTCTGCCTTTTTGGAATTTGTGTTAAAAACATACGTTTAATTTCAAGGTTAACTATTAATATTTTGAGAGAAGCAGTAGTAGTTACACAATTACTAATTAAAATTATAATTTTCACCCTTTTAATAATTATGTGATGATAAGCAAGTGTCGTGATCTCACAGCCAACTGTGATTATGATATAATCATTCAAACGTGCTGAAAAAATATTTGTGTGTGTGTGTGTGTGTGAGTTATGTGGTGTTTGTGTATTGCTAGGGGTCAGCCTTAGAGCCATGAACATACTAACCAAGTTCCCATTAAGTTACCCACTACCATGGTGAGATTATGATTTCATCATGAGAACAACTTCTCTTGGAAAAAACTTTTTACCATGGTGTTTCCTATTTTGGAGGATTCTGATCTTACTTTGTTGGCCCATGCTCACACAATGGTTCATTTAAACATAATGCCCCTGTTCTACGAAGAAGCCAGCTGGCACTGTGCTCTTTGTTATGGGACACACGTGGGTACGTGTGTGTGTGCAAGTGTGTGTGTGTGTTGTATTTTGACTTCTGCTTCTCATTATTAGCACAAGCAACTGTGTACAAAGTCTACTGTGTTTTAAATACTGAAGGTAAGACATCACTTTCTGAAGATAAGAGCACCTTCACCCCTCTGTGTCTGCCTCACAGTTACTACTGATGTCAGAGGTCACTGCCGTGCTCATTAGGGAAGGAAGGCTTCAACCCATTCTCCAGTTCATCAAAGGAAATAATTCAACCTTCTGGGGTTGGAGTTCTAATTAGCTTACTCTTACAATGCCTTTAAGCTGGCTGCATTCTGAGTTCTCCCAGCAATATGTTTGTTCTCCCATATCAACAGAGCCAGAATAATTCAGAAAGATGTATTTCTATGTTACATGTATCTTTTTATATCTTAGATTTAATTAAGCTTTTTCATAAGGACTATGTCTGTGGTAAGCCCAATTAAAAGTTATTTAAAATATTTTAAGCTATGAATTTATTAAGTTACATTTTTATTATATTTCATGACTTAAAGTTTTACTTAATGTTTTGGAATGAAATATCATGTATTAAATATTATAGATATATAAGTATTTCAGTTATAGAAATCTAAAAAATTATAAGATAATTTTTATTTTTTCTGAATAAATTTTAAGAATGCTTTTGAGGGCTTGCTATAAATTGAGAAATAGTAGATATGTATACTATAACTAAATCATATTTATTATCTTAAAACTTGTTTTCGTTAAATAATAATAAAATTGACATATATTACAAACATTTATTAATCTCATTATGTGTTCAGTTAACTGTACTGAATGCAACTGTATCTGCCTTAACAAGAAAACCACAAACCAAGGTATCATCACCAGGGATGCACAGCTAAAATACGATCTATAATTCAGCATATTTGCACTCAATGAATGTATCTCCCATTGGGAGCATGACGCCAGCAAAATATACTTTATGTGAGTTGAATGTGATAACTTTCACATTCAGGGTAGGCTTTTTCTGTTTCTCAGATAATTCATCTCATAGCTTTGCAAAAGATATTGGGCTTAGCGTGAACCCTTTCAAATATAGTCCCTTGTAAGTACAGTATTAGCATTAAGAACATGCATTAATGCATGGAAAGTACG